AGGTTCGTGTTTTGGTGATTCGGCTCCGGTCAACCTGTAGAGAAAAGAATGGTGATCACGGTGATATAAAAATTGCATCGAACGGAGGCCGGGAAGGGCCTCGTCGGAGCAAAACTGAGAGGGGCGCGGCGGCGCCGCTGGGCTTCGGCCGCGTATCCGGCCGTTTGGCCGGGATTTCGGCCTCGATTTGGCCATAGGAGGAATCAGCGGGGAAAAACGAGTCGGGGGTATGAAATTTACCTCGATCGGCGGTCGGAAATTTCCCCGGTGCGGCGGCGAGTGGCGGCGGGTGGCGGCGGTCGGCCTCTGGTTCGTCTTCTCCGGCGAGCGGCTGGCGGCTAGGGTTTGTGGTCTGGTGTGGGGGTTCTATTTATAACCCCTTGCCTTTTGATCACAGCCGTTCATTTCGTTTTAATCTGGACCGTTCGTTTTTGATTGAATCTGGGCCGTCCGTGCATTTGAATCTGGGTCGTCCGATCGCGCGATTGATCTGGGCCGTCGGATCGCACCCACGCGGATCGCCAACGTGGCTCCTTTCGGAGTGACGCAATCTTGCCACGTGGCAGGCCTTGGTTGGCCGGGACTGCTGACCGGGCCTGCTGACGTGGCCCCCCCTTTTTTTTTTTTTTTTTCCTCCTTTCCGGGTGCTACAACATGCCTGGCGCAGCTCGGTTGCACTTCTTGTATCATTGATCAAGGAACTAATACTTGAGCTCGCTAAACAACCTCATGTGATAGGTAATGCTTCTCTTACTCAAATTCATGTACTCGCATGTTAATTTATTTTTTTATCCTTTTCTAATTTCTTTCTTACTAATTTTGTTTTAGGAGATAAGAGAATAATTTAAGCATTGACGGAATTTGGTATTTTAATAGTTGTCCGAGGCTTGTGAAATTTTTTGATCTCGTTATTTTTTATTTATGTGCTCGTACGTTAATTTCTTATTATTTTCTATCTTATTTTCTTTCCAAATTTTGTTTTAGAAGCTGAGGGAATAATTCTAGTTTTTGCAGAGTTTGCTCTTCTAATATCCGTCCAAAGATTATTTCTTCTAGAATTTTCTAATTCCATCATTTTCTAACATCATCATCGCTTTTAGCTTTTGTTTATCTATAGTAAAGAAATTAATTAACTAAAGTGCGGTGTACATTATTATAAATAATATATTTGCATTACAAATATTTGTTTTTTTTATAACCTCTGGAGATGGGTCGTAACCTTTAAACCTCTATCCTCTCAATAGAAAGAGAAAGTGAGAGACCTAATTGATCCATCAAAGATAATTTGGTTGTGTTATAAATATTTATTTTAAAAAAAGTTAATAATTTGTGACACGTATTATCTTTTTCATTTTGATTGAAATCTCAATAATCTTTAATGTTGTTTATAATACATTAATTTCTTTAAGCCGTAATCTATATGATATATTCATTGTTGCCATTTATTTCAGTATTTTTAAGCTATTTAAATTTTTTATTGTTCAAAATATAACTAATTACTGATAAATTATTTTATATTATGAATTATTACGTGAGTTGATAAAAATATAAAAGTGAGAGAGGAGTAAGTTTTGTTGATCGGAGGAAAATCTGAAATACAGACATGCTTTGATAACTTGGAAATTACTTGACATACATAAACTAATTTTGGACACATACAGTAACAATTTAAAGGTTAAAATATATAAAAAATTACTGTATTTTTTTATTTTTTATTTAGGGCAACCTCTGTAATATTTTTATGTTAAAAAAAATAAAAAATAAATTTTCATAGTTTCTTTAAATCAGTTATTTTATTGAACATAAATTTGTCACGCATATGTAATATATGTTAAATAGAAAACTTAGAATTGAAAAAAAGTAAATTATTTCTAAAATACTCCCGACTTAACCCTTAAAAGGAAACAAAATTATATTACGTAAATTATTTTTGTATGGATGTTGTAAATCAGCAAATGAGATTTTGTGTCAATCAAAGTTTTATTTTAAGCCTTCGTTCAAATATATTATTGCTCTTGTATATTTTGAAGCACGAAAATATATTTTTATTAAAAAAAAATAGTGATGCATTTAATCATTAATATGCATAAATTAATTATGTAGAAACCCCAGAAAGCCAAAAGAAAATATATAATAATTTAAGTACGGAAGCGAAATAAAATGTTAATGTTTACATCCCTTATACAATAATTTAAAAGTACTGAATAATATTACGGAATGAATTCTCTGAAAGAAACATGAGAAATAAGAAAAATAATATAAAATAGAAAGTATTTAGCATCTACTCGCAATCTTTTTGCGGATCGGACTCTAGAACTAAGTTCTCTTGATTTGAAATGGTTAAATAAATGATGAGCTACACTATCTCAGTAAGGATATCACACTATATCACTGGTACAGAAGTAAATGTCGGTATAAAATCAAAATAACTAATGGAGTACTAAATTTAGCAAATGCGTTTATCAATCATAAAACTATTTACCGTAGTGGAATTTATGAAAACAACCTATAGAGACAATAATATCATACAGATCATAACTCTATGAATAATCAGCGACATAGAACATATCATAATTTCATATCTATTAACAATAAACTAAATCATAACTGTTTCTCATTTCACCAGCCTACTAGTATCCATGGGGGTTCATAGGGGTGTCCCTGCTACACGTGAACCATTTTCCTTAACAATCTCAATTACAGGACTGTTCTCATACCCGTCCAATATGAGCGCCAAAATATTAAACATCAATATCTCGTCCGATATGAGGGTGAAGTGAGTTGTTCCCATACCCCGTCCGGTATGAGCGTCAAATTGCCAAGTCTCCATACCCCGTTCGGTATGAGACAACGTTCACGGTAGGGTTTCCTATATACTCGGTCCGTCCACAATCTCCTAGGATATCTAGTAAGACTGTCATTCCATCTGTTTATTTGATCACAACCCTTTCCTATTTTTCTTTAGTCTCCATTACCAAATCAAACATAATCATATAAATAAATAAATATGCATCCGGTAATACAATCATGTCTCAAATTCCAAATCAAACAGTAGTCAGGTAAGGCAGTAATGCATGCATTTAAACAATAAAATAGATAAATCAGATACTATCATGCTTTTAGACTGTAAAATAAATCGACAGAGACAATGTCCGGTTCGGGCTCCATTAGCAATCCGCAATTAATTATGCACATCTATTTAATTTGTACAAAATACCGTATTATTATTTATTTAAACTTCAATTTTATGATAGAAAATAGGGTGATAGGTCCTTACTTGATTTGTCGCCGAAAAGTTAAACAGTTTACTGCACCTACGAGCGGTCCCTGGGTTTCCTAAATTTTTCTCTGGGAACTGAAACGTGCTTATAGTACCTACAAATGTTCTAAATAAACCCAAAATCATTCCCAGGGCCCGCTCGGCCAATTTCGAAAGCTCCGGCGGCGGCAGTCCACCTCGGGTCGACCGTTTTTGCATCGATTCCTGCGAGTACACACGCTAAAGGGCCTTAGTGAGCCAAAAAAATATAAAAAATCGAAACTCACCGGCAACAGGGCTCTCCAGTGCGGCGGCTACTCCGGCTCATGTTGTGGTTGGATGTTTCATTTTGGTCAACCTGTAGAGAAGAAAACGGTAATCACAATAGTGGAAAAATTACGCGAAACGGGAATCGTGAAGTGCCTCATCGGAGGCGGTTTGTGAAATTTTCCGAGGCTGAGTTGTCATCTCCGGCGAGGGGTTCTGGCGGTTAGGGTTAAGGTTTGAGTGCGGATGGGGTTATTTATACCCATCCGCTTTTGATATGGACCGTCCGATCGTGTTTGATCTATACTGTCCGATCGCGATTAAATAAGGAGTGAATCTGGGCTGTTCATCGTGATCTAATTTGGACCGTCCGTGCGCGATTCACTCTGGGCCATCCGTGCGCGCGGGAATGGATATCAGTCGTTCGATTGCGCACACGTGGATCGCCCACTTGGCTCCCCCCCTGCGTGGCCTCTCGCATCAGCGTTTCTTCCACTTGGCGCATCTTGGTTGGTCGGGGCTGCTGACCGGGCATCTGACGTAGCAAAATTTTTTAGAATTACATTTTAACCTCCGATTTCTAATTTTTCTTTTAAAAATACCCCTCAAATCCAATTTTTCACTCATTTTTTTCAAAATTATTTTCAATTTAATCATTAATAAATTTTAACTTTTTTTCCATTAAATTAAAATATAATAAAATAAATAAAAAATTATATTTATTAATAAAAAATGAAAAAAAAAAGTTTTTGTGAGTGTTACAAATTAAGTCATAAGAGCATAAAATAAATCATAAGAAATGAATTTTTGATAAAGTAATGAGAATATTAGGCACTGAACTAATTTAAAGTTCAAATTTAAATAATTAAATACACAAATTTAAATTTTGAAAAATAAAATATTTTTTAGTAAATATAATATATAACAAATTATAAACTAAATTTACAGACGGAGCTTAGTCTGGCCCAATAATTAAATGGGCTGAATTGAGTCGACCTCATCAGGTGCTTTTCCTTTTCATAATCATATATAAATATGGGCTGAATTCAGTCTGGCCCAATAATTTCCCATCAATTTCTCAGGAGGTTGCAGAATGAATGACGACACCTCTATGACCAGTTTAAGGTTTACAAATATGAGCAACCTGTTCTGTACTCATTATATTAGCATAATGTCTGAATACATTATGAAGTGAAAAGCTGAAAATGGTGGAAGAGTATTAAATTAGCCAAGTTGAAGGGAGAAATTTCACAAGTCTAATTTTAGTGATGGATTTCCTTATTTCAGATGTTTTATAAATGTTTTAACTCGTCTTATCACACAACCTTAAACAAAATTCAAAAAATTTTGATGTTTTTTTTTTTTTTTTCCTGATCGAGAAGCATCAGACAAATAATGAAAAGCTTGACTTTAAGTTGACTCGGGAAAGAAAATTGCATCTATCCTTTTCAAAATTTCAAGATATGTTTGTTGCACGGAACGCAAACAGCACTAGATTGGACAATGCTGGAACTGATGAGAAACCCGAATGTGACAAGAGAGTTCAAGAGGAGGTGTGAAGAGTGGCGGGTAAGAATCAAAGGTAGAAGGTGATGATATAATCATGATGAATTAATTACTTGAAATGCACCATTAAAGAAGGTATGAGATTGCACCCTTCTGCACCTCTCCTGGTTCCTCGAGAAACATCTGCAACTATGGAACTGCATGGCTACGGTATTCCTGCCAGAACAAGAGTGATTATATATATGTGCATACTTCGATCTCCATGAAACTTAAACGCTAGAAGGTACACTCTAGCATGAAAAAGGTTTTGAAGTGATCTCAACCGTATCAAATTTTAGGCGATTGTGTTGCAACCTTTGATCAAATATGAAGAAATTCACCTAAAAGCAGTAAGGAACAAGCTCCATCCACCTGTGATTATTTAGATGATTAGAAGAATACATATTATTTTTGTTATAAAAATATTTTATATATTGATATTCTATTAACTCTTATGTCAAAAGTTTGTATTCAATAATTATCTGAAAGTAAAACAGTTTAAAAGTAATTTTACATTATTAAGGAAATTATTAATTTTTCAACAGTTAACTTACAGATGAAAATTTAATAATTACATTTAAGTTAAGAAAATATTTTTTTATAAATTATTCCCAAAATATAAGTTTTATATGAAAACTAAGCCAAAGGCTTCCAAAAGTTTTCACATCAAGATTCAGCACTTCAAGCTTATCAGCACAGGCAAGTACGCATAGGAAATGCATTAACGATGTTTAAGGAGCAGTTTACTGACCGATTCCATATGAGAACAGGACAATTAGCCCTCTAGATCATGCTGCGGCAAATCAATGCTAAGCTCCTCACCAATAAATATTTTGCTTCAAATTAACTGTAAATAACCGAAAAACCAAGATAAAAAAAAAAGTTATCCCGCTGTGTATAATGTTTCTGCACTAGTCTGCTCGTACATCTAAAACAATATGTTCTTTTTTTAGTTAAATCATTCAGACAAAATAGTATATAGATAACAAGCTAATACCTCAAAAATAATTGCTGAAAGCATATTCTTGATAATTCATTTGGTTGGAAATATGGATATAAATGATATCTAGTTTTTCCAGCAATGAATTTTGCTTCCGAGTGATTTCTGGCACCCATCATTTCACTTTCCAGTGATTTGTCAGCAGAAGAGATCATATGTACAAAAAAGAATCTAGAAATCAAAGGTATGCTCAAATCCAAATATTCAAATTTTGAAGATGTAGTAGGAGATTAACCTTATTTGAAGAACAATGTGCAGCCATTGCCTGCCTGTATTTGTATTAGAGAAAAGCTCTAAGCTTCTTTTCATTTCACTTTTTCTCCGCATGTTGATCACCCAAATTTTACTTCTAGAGGTCCTTAAACCTGGTATATACAGATCTCTTAGTAGAATTAGACTGATCCTACAAATAAGAGAAGCTCTCTTACATGTCATGACAGTCAAGAAGTGCATTCATATCAGCTTTCCTGATCCAAAGAGAGGACTAACTTGATTGCATAATGCAGCCATTAACTTCAAATCTTTATCTTTTCGAAATCAATCAAACTGCTTTCGAGAGGCATTTCCAGAAGAAACTTTTCTTTCTCAATCAGCAGCAACACCCACTTCCATTATTTCCTTCTAGGAGCAGCAAAAGTTCCATAGGCAATCTTTGGACTCACCAGTAGTCCCCACAAGAACATGAACCGCTGCTAAAGTGATGAAAGCGGTTATTGTCCCTTACAATTATCGATCTTCCGAAAATCTTGGAAATGCATTTTATGGCATTGTGACAGTCTTCACAAACACGCAAATTTTTTATCACACGTATCGGCCTTCCTGCTGGTATAGATAGAATCCCATAGGCCACAGCTAACTTCTCACTGTGGTACTTGAGCATGTGCTCTTTCTCCTCCTCTTCAACATCATGTAAGACCAATTTGGTGGAAGAGATGTACCCTTCACGCTTCATTTTCAAATCTAATTCTTCTAAAAAGGCATAAATTTTATCCTTATCTGGGTGAAGACAATCCCCAACTGAAAATGTGTGAATCTTGTTCTGCACTTCAAGCCAACTATAACCAGGCACTTTCTTTACACCTTTGTCCCTCATTTTTAGTCTCATCTTACCAACATCAGCCCATCTGCCCGAAGCTGCATATAAATTAGAGAGAAGGACATACATCCCAGAATTATCGGGCTCCATTTCAAAAATAATCTCAGCAGCCTTTTCACCTAACTCAGTATTTCCATGAATTCTGCTCGCACCAAGTAAAGCACCCCATGTTGCAGCATCTGGTTCAAAAGGCATATTTCTCATTAAATTCTGGGCCTCTTCCAACAGCCCAGCACGACCAAGAAGATCAACCATGCAAGTATAATGTCGTGAATTTGCTGTTATACCATAATCTCTGTTCATTGAATAAAAATATTGTTTGCCTCTTTCTACTAATCCAGTGTGACTACAAGCAGACAATACAGCAACCTGAAATGCAAATAAAAAGGAAAACAAAAAGTAAGAATGATTTGATAGGAAAAATGGACTACAGAAAATAAGATATATTGGCTAAAAGACATCATGCATTTCTTTCATTATATTCCATCTATTGCATCTGTTGATCCAAGATATAATAACTAGAAGAATAGGTTAGCTCAAGTTGGAAAAACATTTCCAAACAACAAAAGCATCAAACAGATGTAGTCACTGGATTTTTCATCAGAAGCAGCAAAGATACACGTTCACCTTGTGCGTGTGCATGTGAGCTTTCTGTATACGGGGTACACTACAAAGGAAATCTTTGCTTGATGGAAATCAAAGAAATGACAAGAAAAGATGTAATGAATAATCGCATAGGTGGAGCATTGTAGTCAGATTTTTTTTTTATCCACACTACGTCAGGTCCATACTCAAACAGAACTTTGCCGAAACATTATGTATGAAAAGATGGGGAAAAGTTGACATCTGAAAAACAAAACCATCGTCCGTTTTAGGCAATGCAACAAGATGCTAGCCTCCAAGATCACAACTTCTTCAAGAGGTAAAATAAAAATTTAGAAGTCATAACCTATCACAGGGATGGGACATATATTGACGAATCCGACAAGTATTTCCATTGGAATTATTCTTACTTCCTGGGAGAATATGTGAAAGGTCAATTACAAGAATGTGAAAGAACGTATCAAGTTTAGTTCATCCCAGAATGATGGTATAGATCATTCCGTTTTCTACTTTTCCTTTTAATGCATGATTTTTTCTTGATCCCACGCAATATGGTCTCTAAATTGTAAAGGTAAAATGGATCCTTTCATAAATAAAAAAGTTGTTACTTACCATGGTAGCATCATCTGGTTTAGTACCTGCTGCTTTCATTGACTCAAAAACCCTCAATGCCTCTTTGCCAAATCCATGTCTGGCATAACCAGCAATCATTGTGTTCCATGAGACAGCATCCTTTTCTGCTATTTCTTCAAATGCACTATATGCTTCATCTATGCTTCCGCATTTGCAATACATCAAAAGAAGTGCATTCCCCACAAAGCACCCTGTCTCATATCCTGCCTTAACCAGCCGCCCGTGCAACTGCTTGCCCAATTCCAAAGAAGCTGTATTAGCACATGTGCTCAGAGAACAGGAAAATGAGGACCTATTCAGCTTTTCACCATCTCTTTGCATTAGTACAAAAAGGCCTAATGCCTCTTCACTATAACCGCTTTGAGAGTAACCTGCAACCATGGCAGCCCAAGAAATGCTATCACGCTTAGGCATCCTATCAAACAAGTTCCTGGCTTGATCAAGACAACCACTTTGGGCATACCCAGTGACCATTGTATTCCATGAACTAACATTCCGACAAGGCATTGCTTCAAACAGTTCCCTTGCCTTGTCCATTCTCTTGGTTTGCACATATCCTGCAATCATTGCATTCCAGGATACTGCATTCTTATCTGGCATTTCGTCAAAAATTATTCTAGCTTCATCTACCATGCCATTTTGCACATACCCAGACACCATTGCTGTCCATGTAAACACATCTCGAATAGGAGATTCTTCAAACAATCTTCGTGCTTCTGCTATCTCTCCATTCTGGGCATAACCTGTGATCATAGTATTCCAGGAAATCTCATCCTTCATGGGCATTCTATCAAAAAGACGCCTTGCATCCCCAATCCTCTTCCTCTTGACAAACCCACCCATCAAACAATTCCATGAAACCAACTCCCAATCATTCTTGGAGTCAAACAACCTAACAGCCTCCTCCATCCTTCCATTCTGCACATACGCAGCAAGCAAACCATTCCAGGAAATTGCGTTCTTATTGGGCATCCTATCGAAAATCCTCCTTGCCTCATCCACGCACCCATTCTGAGCGTACCCAGATAACATAGTATTCCATGAAACAACATCTTTCTCCGGCATTTGTTCGAATAACTTCCTTGCAGCACTCAAACTCCTGTTCCTAACATACCCACTGATCATCACATTCCAAGAAACCAAATCTCTCTCGGGCATTTCCTCAAACACCTCCCTGGCAACATCAAATCTTTCATTCATCAAATACCCAGATATCATGGCGTTGTAGGTAACAGAACTTCGACGAGGCATGGTGTTGAAGACACGGACAGCGGAGTCGCACCGTCCATTGCGCATGTAATTGGTAATGGTCATGTTGAATTCCTTAATGTCCGAGTCTCCGACTTTTGGTGGCGCTTTGTTCTTGGTTTTATGCATTGAAGACAGAGTTTTCTTGGATGGGTATGGATTCTTTTCTATGCTTCGAAGTTCATTTAAGGTCTGTGCTTCGTTCTGCTGTGCGCTGATGTGAAACTGTCTTAAACGGTACTTCCCGCGCATTGCCTTAAGCTTCAAATTCAGATTTTTGCTACACTTTGCCCAGTGGCTACTGCAAGTGTTCTTTTTTTTTTTTTTTTTTTTCTCTCAGCTTATTTATATTTAATAAATTTGACTATGATTGAATAAAAATTTATATTGCATAAGAAAAAGAAGAACAAATTTAGAAAAAGAATTAGGAGGAATCCGAGGAAACAAAAAAAATGAATAGAGGTTTTAAAGAAATTATTTTGGTTTGAATAGTAAAATTAATCTTTTTTTTTTTAAAAGAGAATAATAAAAATTAAAATTAAGAGAGCAAAGGAAAATAATA